TCTCCTGGCATCCCCATATCTCCTGGCAGCTCAGCACTCAAAGGCTTCCTGACATGGCAGGCGGCCACGGGGGCAGCATATTGTCAAGAAGGTGGGGGCGTGTGTGTAAAGGCCCTTTGTGTTTCCCTATAGCCATAAGTCTGCCTGGCATGGGATTGAGCTGAAGGGCCCAGGTTCAAAGGTCAGAAGGCTGGTAGAGGAAAGCGTGGTTCTGTCTTTGAGGACCAGTTACCGTTGGGACCTCAGCGTGGGGACTTCACGACGGCGCTCTGTTGCTTTTAAAGGACTGTTTGAGGGGAGACGCTCGGGGCCAAATGAGGAAATATCGGGTAACTCGACAGCTGAGTTGGGAGAACACGCCTACTGGTCAATGTGGCCATTGGGTCCACATCAGTGGTTTGTGAGGAGTTGCTGAGATGATACTCCTACATTGAGTGGCTGGTTCTGTGGAGCAAGGCTCCAATGAAGCCGTGGTTAAGGGTTCATCTCCCCGTGAAGCTCAGTGGGGGGTCATAACCCAGTCAATCGTCTATTCCAGTGTTTCTCATTGTAATGCAGATCACTCACCAACCTGCTGCCTAAACTCCATCCCAGAAGCCTTAAAGTGGCCAGCAGGGATCCAGAGGAGGAATAAACTGCATCCAAACCTTTGCCGTCTGTGTTTGTGTCTGAGGGCTATTTTGGACCCCCCCCCGGCCCCCCTTTGTGTCTGCGGCGAGGCTTCTCCTGATGCTGACTGAGCGCTCCTCTCTCTCCGTTGCAGGGCAACATGCCTCAGACTCCACCCTTCACGGGGCAGCTGAACACGGGCGTCTACAACAAGAACCTGTACCAGGCCAAGGAGGAAGGCTACTCCGGCCTCTATTACCATGACAACAACCTGGCGTCTGGGTCCCTGGAGGCCCTCATTCACCACCTGGTCCCAACTGTGGACTATTATCCAGATGTAAGTGGGGTTGTTGGGTTTTTTTAAGCGTTTCTTGCCTTTACAGTTTTATCAAAGTAAAGCCTCATTTCCCTTTTGTTCTTCTTCTATTAAGCATGTTTTCTCTCTTCTCCACAGAGGACCTACATCTTCACCTTCCTGCTCAGCTCTCGCCTTTTCATCCGCCCACATGAGCTCATGTCCAAGGTGTGTCACCTGTGCATGGAGCAGCAGCGACTCAGCGATCCCCAAGCGGACAAGGTAATAATAGTAATAATAATGAATCATTTAGCTGTGAGACGTTCACACATCCTCTCGGCGGCTCTGTTCACTCGGTGCTTCTGTCTCCGCATCAGATGAGAGTCAGGAAGATCGCCCCCAAGGTCCTCCAGCTGCTGACGGAGTGGACCGAGACCTTTGCGTATGACTTCAGGGACGAGAAGACGATGAGGAGCCTGAAGGAGCTCACCCACCGGCTGGCCAATGGCGACGAGGTCGGTTCTTTGACTTCCATTCGCACCAAATGAGTTGAGCCACAAAAAGACTCGCCTGCCGATCAGATCATCTGCGCGTGGCGATCTGCCGCTCTGTAGACCACATGTGCAGCACGGCTACACACATGGGCAGATATAATTTGCAGATGGCGGCGGGGGGCCGGGGCAGCTCCGGCGACAAAGCGGTTTTTTTTAAGGGGTGGCTGAGTTGAAAGAAAAGCCCCTTTTGTTGTGTTGGTTGGTGGCTTGTTTTTTTGTCGCCAATGTGGCGATCCATCCCGGGCAGCGTTTGAATGGTTCCAGCTGAAAGCTGCCGCGCTCTTTGGGATCAGAGTTCACTTGGGGGGGGGGGAGGGAGGGGACCCCCAGCCTCTGTTATCTCTGCTGCACACGCTTCGTTGTTTTGACAAGCGGGCGCTCGGGCTCTACCGCCGTGAAAGGAAATGCAAACGTGACGAACCGAAATGATGACTTTTCAAATGAAGTCACCTCAAAGGAAATGCTTCCCATTGTTGGGGGGGGAAATTGGATGTAAGCAGCACAGATATAGCACAGATATATATATATATATATATATATATATATATTTATATATATATTTATATATATATATTGGCCTTATATCAAGGCGTTTCTGCTCATGTCGGAAGTGGTGTGGGGGCTTGGTAGGCTCAGACAGTGATGGAGGAAACAAACATCCATCTGTTCCACCCCCGCCGCCCTCTTTTTCACTGCTGAACACATAAAAAAAACACCACCCCACCCCATCTCCAGATGTCTTTAATGCAGGTTTCCCATGACTCATCAATAGTACAAGCGAAAGTATTGATCCTGGTTTCACCTCCAAATCAATATGTCTCACATGACAACTGGACACAACTCTCCATGTCCTGCCCCCCCATCTTAACAGAACTCCAGCAACCGACATTCCCACACAAACATCTCTTCATTTCTCCGTCGATCCTCTCTGAGTTTATTGGAAGGCATCTGCAGTGGTTTATTCTCCCCGCCCATTTCTGCAGGTCATAGGTCATGTCTTGGTTTCTCTTCTGTTCATCCATCACTCCTGTAGGAAGCTAAATTGAAAGTGATGGCACACAACCAGTTCCTTATCATCCCTCACTATATAGAAAATGTGGTTGCACATTGAAAGCTTGTCTCCTGGCAGATTGAGAAATATATTCCTTCTGCTCTCAGTTTCTCTCTTAGGAAACAAACGAAAGAATCTGATCTGATTGAGTTGCTTTTCTCCTCAGACCTCAGCAATACGTTTGGTTAATAAAACGGCTCAACCCAGAAAGACTTTTGACTTTTCATCAACCCTTAATATTGCTTATGCTGAGCTGAAGAAGATGACACGTGTTCATGGGATAAAGGTCCCACACATTAGATGTATATGTAGACAAAGCAACCGGGTGAGGTCTGGATATGGTTCATTCATATGACCTGTGAAAATACAACACGATTCACGGGGCCGTTTTTCTGCGGAGGACCGCAGCGCTCTGGGGAAAGGGTGTAGAGTCCGGAATAGATGTCCCGAACATCTGGTCCAAGTCGAGTCCAGACCGCACCCAAAACATTCCAGGTCCTTGATCCCAGATGTGGGACTGTCATTATGGATGTGGTTGGGTCTGTAGAGAGGAAAGGCTTTGATCGGGATCTGACCCCCTTTGATGCTGCACAGTTCCTACCTTCCCTCAGTGTGCCGTTGGTCTTAAACATTCTGTACTACGTGGTTTCTTTAGCTTGACTTTGATGGCACGATGCCTGGTGCGAGGCAGACCGCTGGACGGACGTGTGAGTCCAGTAGTGCGTTCGTGGGACCTTCTCCTGACCTGCCCGTCTTCTGAGTTGTTTTAGTGGGGAGTTCAACATCGGGTTCGGAGTCGGTTTCAATGAGAAGGGACCAAATTGAGACTGTTGAGACTGGAGAAGCATAAAAAATACACCTTAAACGGCAAAGGGCACAGTAACACTACACTTTCAAAGGGAAAAGGAAAGCTTGTTAGTAGAAAAAGAAAAGGAAACCGTACTAAACCAAATTATTTCGTATTTAATTCAATGTATGCAGGATCTATTACTATTAATATTACTTTAATACACTTAAAGGGTCCACCAACGACTCTGACGGGTTGATGAATAACTCGAGCAGGACTTCCCTCCAACGTGCCAGTTCATCTCGGGGGGTCGGGGGGGTACTTCTACCACTTGGCATGTCAGGCTTGTTTTTTGGCTAAAAAAATCATTGCGCAGGGCTTTTTCCACTACGTGTCCATTAGTGCCGCTCGGGTAGCGGGCTAAAAAAAGCCGGTTCTTCCCGCGTGGGTCAGGTGGTGCTCCGCAGGAAGTACCGCCCCCTCTGGCCAAGACACGAGGCGACCGCGCGCCGAGCCAGTGTACCGAGCGGCCCGTCTGCCTCCCCCGGATCACTGCCAGGGTGATCAGGGCCCCCTTATACGTAACGCCAACACTTCTGGTCACAAATGTCAGGCGTGCTGTTCTCTCCGAAATTGGGGACTATATTTACCCCGACCCGTCCCCCTGGTGGGAGCGGGGCAGATGGCTGACTTTGGTGGTAAATGTAGTCATCGTCACCGGTGCCGGGGGTCCCCTCTTGTCCGACTGCTGGGCGAGTGGGTACCACCTTTACCTTCACCGTGCCGCGCCTCAATGGACAAGTGTCCTCTGGGACACTAGTGTCCCTTTGTTTAGTCCATCTGTGGATTCATGGATTCCTTTTGGAATTGACAGAAAGTTCATCGCGCTTTCTGGGCGACCGAGAGGTAGAAGTAAAGAAGAGTTAGGTGATTGCTCCAGTTAGTTCGGATTTGTTGCCCTTTTCTCTTTATGTTATTGTAAATTTGAAGGAGTCACCATGGCCTGTCATGGTTTTAGATTCTCGATAAGCGACCCAGCTGATGGGCCGACACGCGAACGCGTCTGTTTATCTGCAGACCCGTCACGGCAGACAAAACCATCCGTCGGGCCCCGGGAAAGGAATTGGAGTACGTCCCCCCCCCCCCGTCCCAAGACGTCTCCTGCTCCTCACACTCGATCGCTCTCAAGCCCCTCGTCCATCACAGAGTTTGAGCCTTGCGTCTCGGTTGTTCAGATCCTGGAGGGTGGAAGGTTCCAGCAGGAGGGTTGTGGTCGTCATACCGGCGGTGTGGAGAAACGCCACGGAACGAAAGGATCACATGTCCTCCTCCCGTCTGTAGACCCTGGCACGAAGCTCCTGTGCTGATCATCTTATCAAACTGAAGGTCCAGGGGAAGGTTCTGGACTCGTCGCACCTCCCAGGGTCGTTCTGCGGGTTTGCGAGTCGGCCTCGCGCTAGTTTCGGGCTGACTTGAGGTGAACGCGTGCGTGTTGTAAATTGCAGAGAGGTTGTTATCGCCCTCTGCCACGGACGACTGGAAAGGGATTAAATAAAAGTCACTGCGCAATCGACGGGAGGTTCTGGCTGGATTTCTACCCCCATCAGCTTCCCATGACCTGATGCCTCAGCGATGAAGCTGCGCGATGCCAGCGTGGAGCTGGACCTCGTGGTTACTTGTGTGCTTAATGACCCGAAGAGAGTTCCTGAAATGCTGGAGTCCTGAGTGAATTAAAGCCACCAAACGTTGAGCCGTAACTCTTCCCTCCGTCGCTCCCCCAGGTCTACAGGAAGGCGGTGGGCCAGATGAGCCAGGCTCTGATCCGCAGGCTGACGGCGCTCAGCCAGTACGAGGAGGCGCTGGTGAAGATCAACGCGGCGGCGGCCGAGCGGCTGACGTCTCTGAAGGCCAAGCCCCAGGCGTCCATCCAGAGGGACATGCTGTCCATCTGCAACGACCCCTTCGCCGTCGCCCAGCAGCTCACGCACATAGAGCTGGTGAGAGGCTCCCTGATCGGGAGCATCTTGTATTACTCTGGACTGCTGCCATTGATCAATAGGAGCCTGAGGTTTAAACCGAACAATATTCTTCAAAAATACAGATAGAGATTAAAAAAAAATACTCCAATATCAAAGTATTTAACCGTGAAACCCCCCAAAAACGTAGCGTCCTTAAGTACAGATGAACTCGTGAGGATCAGAGGAGTGATGGGAATGATCACATGATCTATCAGAGTCACTGGGGGTTCATTCATTATGGACATATTTGCATAAAGGGAAGAGATGAAAGGAGGAGCAGAATTGTGCCTAAAAGTTACAATAGAACAATATAGAGGTGATCCGTTAAGTTCCCTCATTACCTCTTGAATGAATCAAAACAAGACTGTTACTGTAGCCGTCGGCGACGAGGAACAACTGAGGACAATGAGAAACGCCAGAAAGTCCGCAGAATAAATTTGGGTAACAGCCACCTGAAGCTCGATGCCCTTTTTAAGTGAACGACCCAAAGATGGATGCAGGGAGTTGATTTGTATTTTGTTCCTCCACAGGAGAGACTGAGTTACATCGGACCCGAGGAATTCGTCCAGGCCTTCGTCCAGAAGGACCCTCTGGACAACGATAAGGTGACGCCTGCACGCTCTCAGGAGGAGAAGCACATGCAGTATTTACGCAATCGCTCTTTGGCCGTAATCCCTGCTGCAAAGCCGCCGCGGCCCGACGTGGCCTCGTTTCTCCTGCAGACGGATGTTGAGTTTACACAACAGAGCGGGGGGGGCGCCGCCGCGCGGGTCAGAGGGAGGTCAGGTGATTACCAGACTGTAGCAGCGGACCAGATATCCACACACAGACGCACACAGACGCACACATCTAGACGTTCAGAGACATAAACTAAACACACACCTCACAGGCAATTTCCACAAATCGTCCCATTGTCTGCAGGAGATGGACATTCATGCGTACCATCGCCTAGCAACCACTGCTGCCAAGGGCTCCTTTTTGGAAAGGGGAGTTTTGGCTCTCTTGCCTGGCGTTCGGCTGCTAGGCAACAGACCCCCCCCCAGAAATTTTCTATTTAATTTTGGTGAAGCGAGGTGATATGGGGCGTGGGGGGTTTAAGGCTTTGTGCCTCGGGCTCGTATTCCAGCGAGCCACTAAAACACAATGTGTCCAGCGGCGGGAAAACACTGTGTGCGGAGGGGTTCTGAGGGGGGGGGGCATGGCGTAAGGCCGAAGGAATGTGTGGAATTGGATCAAGAGGAGTCCACACAAAGCAGCAGGATGTGAAGAACATCGGCCACCGTTGTGCTAACTGATGCGGAGTGAAGCCGAGCCTGATTGGAGTTTTAGTTCATGCGTTCAGTGATGCGTTGAATGGGAGGGAAGGGGGAGGAAAGGGGGAGGGGAGGGGAGGGGGGGGCGATATCAGCCTCATTTGTCTCATTCAGCACTATTTTGTGTTTCTTTCTTTGGCTTTGCAATTAGCTCGGGTGCTAATGAGCGAGTGTTGTTGTTGCAGAGCTGCTTCAGCGATCACAAGAAGGCCAGCAGCCTGGAGGCCTACGTGGACTGGTTCAACAGGCTCAGTTACCTGGTGGCTACGGAGATCTGCCTGGTGAGAGACACACGACGCGCTGAAGGGACCATGTCCACCACGTTACACGTCAAAACAAAAGCGTTCAGTTAACAAAGAGGGTTCTTATGCTTCTGCGCGCCGATGGTCCTGATGCAGGTTGTTAATGTCCTCCGTTGCTCCGCAGCCCGTGAAGAAGAAGCAGCGAGCGCGAGTCATGGAGTTCTTCATCGACGTGGCGCGCGAGTGCTTCAACATCGGCAACTTCAACTCGCTCATGGCCATCATATGTGAGCGCTGCTCTTTCTACACACACACACACACACACACACACACACACACACACACACACACACAGAGACTGATGTCTGAGTCTGATGTCTTTTTGTTGTGTGGCTCAAAGGCGACACAAGCGGGGAACCTCTTAATTGCCGTTGCTAAGCGACGCGCGACAAAGTGAATATAGTTTATTAGTTAATAACATTAATTATGTACAAAACGACACAAACAGCTGATGTCCTGAAAGACGTCAGATCGCTGATCATTGAAATACAAACACGACACGAAACCAAATGATTCAACTGTTTGAAATAAAGGTTGGGGGGGCGGCATGAAGGGGGGGGGCATGAAGGGGGGGGAGGGGGCAAAGCAGATGTGAACGGGTGAGAAAATGCCTTTTTAAAACAGATACTCTGAAGCAAAACTAGATCAAATCCATTAAGGCACTCAGACAGTTTAGAGACGTCTCCGGGGGGTCCAGAGGACATCTGGTCATCCTCACAGGCCGGGCGGCTGGAAGAGGACGCAGGGCGAAGCATCGAGGCAGATGGTCACCGCTGACCAGGGAGAGTGTGAGCACACGGGGGGGTCAGAGATAAAGTAATGTTCTCATTAAAGGGGAGAGTTTGTCCAGCAAACACACACAGACACACACACACACACACACACACACACACACACACACACACACACACACAGACTGGATCTGACACAGCGGCACGTTGTGCTCAGACCGTCTCCTGGGAAACGGTAGGAAAGGAAAACATGCGTTCTATGTTTCTCCGAGTGTGTGTGTGTGTGTGTGTGTGAGACTCGTGTGTGTGTGTGTGTGTGTGTGTGTGTGTGTGTTGTTGTGCTACAGTGACCCCTCGGCCTTCTGAACCTGCATGAAACGCACACAGGATTACCATGTGGGAAGCAGAGGGGGGGTTAACTCTATTGTTCCTGTGGCCTTTTCGCCTTGCTGCATTAGAAGACACAACAAAGGGGGGAGGGGTCTGTGTGTGTCTGTGTGTGTGTGGGGGGGGGGGGGGGGGACTGTCTGGCTGAATGTGTTAATGCGACCATGTGGGTGCTTCCCTCCATGTGACATCTTCCTCTTCCTCTTCCTCCAGCGGGGATGAACATGAGCCCCGTGTCTCGCCTCAAGAAGACCTGGAACAAAGTCAAGACGGCCAAGTTCGACATCCTGGAGGTGTGTGTGTGTGTGTGTGTGTGTGTGTGTGTGTGTCTTTATCAAACAGTTTGTGTTTATTTGTCTTATTGAGTTCGAGCATCACAACTTGGCGACACTTTAACGTGTTTAACCGGCTCCTCGTTAGTTTATTTGTTGTTGTTTGTCACGTTTGTTTGAGACTCGGCTCCTCTGTCCACAGCACCAGATGGATCCTTCCAGCAACTTCTACAACTACAGAACGGCGCTGCGAGGAGCGACGCAGCGCTCCGTCACCGCCAACAGCAGCAGGGAGAAGGTGAGACACACAAACAACAACAACAACAACAACAGCGCAGCGGCTTCGCGTATCCTCACACTTCCTCCGGCTGCGTCAGCTGACGTATCATTTAACAATTAATAATCGTTAATATCCCATCGTGAGGCTTCCCTACGGCGACTCATCCAGTAGACCCCAAAAAAGGTTTTGAAGCCGACCTCCTCCTCGAGGGGGGAGGAGCCGCCGACCCCCTCGTAGGTCATGTGATGAACACGCGCGTTGTCACGGCGACGGCG